CTCCCCGGAATCAAACCTGCGACCTTTCGATCAACAAGCTCAGCAGCTCATTGCTTTAACCCACTGCGCCACATATTTATAGCCATGTATAAATATGTGAGAGGAAGCCACAGGGAGAAGGGAGCAAGCTTGTTTTCTGCTTCCCTGGAGACTAGGACGTGAAACAATGGCTTCAAATTACAAGAAAGGAGATTCCATCTGAACATGAGGAAGAATTTCCTGACTGTGAGAGCCGTTCAGCAGTGGAACTCTCTGCCCTGGAGTGTGATGGAGGCTCCTTCTTTGGAGACTTTTAAACAGAGGCTGGATGGCCATCTGTCAGGCTTGCTTTGAATGCAATATTCCTGCTTCTTGGCAGGGGGTTGGACTGGATGGCCCATGAGGTCTCTTCCAACTCTATGATTCTATGATTCTATGAGACAAAATCTCTTTATAGTTTAGCTAATGGAAACTGTCCGGAGTCCTGACTGCTCCGACTATACCAGTGATTAAGCTTATCATACCCTAGCTTGACCTTCATAAGCTTGACTAGTTTTGAACAGGACGACCTTGTTGGTCACATCCTAGAAAGTCTACAAGACCTACCTTAACACCCACGCCCCCATGAGTAAACGTACTTGGTTGTAATTGCATGATGCCAAGCTGAATAATTCCTTCTTTTCTTGCAAGCCCAAGATTTAACCATGAAGTATACCAATCACATGGAAGACTTCTAGTACCGGAAGGCCACGGGCAATTGGAGTAGTCTGTGTAGGGTTAGATGTTCCATCATCTGATTCAGGATAAAGGAGCTTTGAATAGCCAGGTTTAATCTAAGCTGGAGTGGGAATCATACAGGCTTCCAAATGTTGTTCCACTGCATCCTCTAGTAGTCCCCACCATGGGCTATATTTTCTAGGGCTGATGAGAGTTGCATTTCAGCAATATTTAAGGGGCAATATGATTCCCTCCTCAGGTATTAGAGGTCATTTAGAGCAGTAATTCTCAACCTTTAATCCTCTAGGTTAGTGGTTCTCAATCTGTGGGTCTCCAGATGTTTTGGCCTTCAACTCCCAAAAATCTTAACAGCTGGTCAACTGGCTGGGAGTTGTAGGCCAAAACACCTGGGGAGCCATAGGTTGAGAATCACTGATCTAGGTGTTTAATACTTCAACACTAAGAAACCTCAGGTAGTTTGACAAATTGTCAGGAATTCTGGGAACTAATGTCCAAAATACCTAGTGAACCAAAGTTTGGAAATCACTGATCTAGAGCTGTGATGCTCAACTATGGGTCCTTCAGATATTTTGAAGTCAAGACAGTAATGATATCCTGGGCCAAGGACCTAGGCAGACCAATAGAATTGGACAAATGGGAATACCTATGGAACAAAGAATTCAAATTTACTTTATCGGGTTCAATCAGGGAGAATCAATACAAAGTGTTTTATAGATGTTATATCACTCCAGCTACATTGGCCAAAATAGACAAATCACAACAAGTTATTTGCTGGAGGTGCAGGAAACAGAAAGGGACATTTCTCCACATGTGGTGGACCTGTGTGATACAGGAATTTTGGGATAAGGTAATTAAGGAGACAATTAAAATGTTACATAACAAGATTTAAAAAAGCCCAGGACTGTGTCTGCTAGGTCTACAGAGAGAAAACAATAATCAAAAGGACCAAGAAATATATCAATATAGCTTTGCAGCGGCAAGATTGACCATAGCCAAAGATTGGAAAGGGGAAAAAGGTCTAACCAAAAAGGATTGGAGGGAAAGAATGCGAGAATATATGCTAATGGCCAGACTAACTTATAACAGGAGGAATAAGAGTAATGAGGACTTTCTAGAAAAATGGAAGTTGGCCATGGCATATCTGAATAGAAAGTCAGTAATATAGAGGAGCTCCATTAGGAATTTAAGTTTACCATGAATAAGGATAGATAAATAGGCTTAAAGGCT